AAAAAGCTGGGGGGTCAGAAAAAAGAGGGGGGGGGTCAAAAAAAAGACGGGCCCAATGCAAAATTCCATACGGCGTGGAAGTGGTGACGTGGCCTTCGCTCCTTTTGCGTTGGGCGTGAGACGGGAGGTTTCCACGTTCACTGGGTTTCTGACAAGAAGACTCCTGACACGAAGATTCCTTCCAACCCATGACAACGACCTTGCTGACCTCAGTACCAGATATGCTGGACATCCTCATGACAAGCGACCTGACTACCAGTGTACGGCCCAGCTAAGGACTTGAGGCACGTCTGGCGAACTGTGCGCAGTCGGTTGATACACCTGCTTCAACAAGGAGTGAATCAGACAGCTCGAGGCAGAGGAGACTCTCCAGGGCACCGCAGCTGCATCTGAGCTTCGTTTGGCAGTATACACAACACATCAACAGCTTGGGGGCAGGTGAAACGGCTTAGCCCTTCTTCTTTTCTACTCTTATCTGGGGATGTGAGCGCTTCTTTCGCCAAAGCGACCACTGCCACCCGTGCGAGTGTGCCCCCACTTGGGGGTGCGAAGAGTGAAGCACAAGGCAAATACAGCAATGGCAGTAGCCTCTCGGCCTCCTTGCCCCACACCCGGCACGTTGTGCACTTCGCACGCATCGCTCTCGCAACCACCCCATACCACATGTGCAGTATGCAGCAGCTGTATGCTTCCACAGCATCACCGACCCTGAACTGGGCTTCAGGCCCGGCAACGGGGACAGCAGCACCTTCGGAAAGAGAAGCTCTCAATCCGCAGCCCACGAGAAAGTCTTGGGACTGGGGGCCCGACCTCCTCGTCGCGATTGTAGCGGACACGCTCGCGAGCCGCTTCCAGCAACTGCTCCTGTCGCGATTCGCGGCACAAGCTTCCAGCAGCGGAAGAAGAGGCTTCGCTCTGCGGCTCAGCGGCCATGCGATCGAAGAGCTCCACTCGCTCCAGGAGGCCTGCGCCCGCGAACGCTTGGGTCTTGCTTGCGCAAAGAAGTGTGAATCTCTCCTCCACTGCAGGCAACGGGCGAGGGCTTGTACTGCAGACATGCCATCCTGATCTCGCAAGGGGGAAATTCACGAATGAGCATGGATGCACCTGGATGCACCTGGATGCACCCTGCGAGCGACTCGGGAAGATCGCAAGGCTCCCGGCTTGAAGCCGGCCATGACCATCTGGCTTTGGCTGCAACACGAGTAGCAGCGCTTGTCCAGGCTGATGATCTGAGGCCGCGAGCCGCTAAAGCATCGGGCACGTCCTAGCCTTGCGGTGACGCGCCTGGGAGGGGTCCCCCTTCTTTCGAGGCGACCTGGACAAGCGTGATCTGAGACATCGCAAGCCCGGGCCTCGCTTTTCAAGGGCTCCCGCTGTTTGGGGGCTTTGGGCGGCGACTTCGACGGAGACTTCGATGTGTCATCCACCTGCCGCTGAGAGGTCAAAAGACGCCTGCTACCAGCTGCCGAAATCCGTGCGACGTGTAGCACAAGTCTAGAAAGCCTCAGTTGGCTTCTGGGTGGTAGAGACTGGTTTGTACCCAACCAAGGATACGCGATGCCAGTCTGCGAACTCCTGCAACATGAACCCCGTGGCGGTCTCGGACTGACCATCGGATGCCGCACCTGTCGCTCCAAGGACACCTGCATGGCCAACACCTGGGCATGTTCCACATGCGAATACTTTTTGAAGCGGCCCACGGCCCACCCTCTCACCCCACTCAGACACACTCTGGGCGCCATGCCTCCACCAGCGCACCACAGAGGGGGTCCAGGCTCTTGCAAGCTGCGCAGGATGGCGGTGCATGCGGATGTGACAGTGGCGGCACGTCTTTCCAGCATGCTGTACGTACTGTGCGCATGTCACGTCTGTCACGTCTCGGACCTCGCACCGCGTTCTCGACAGATCCTGAAGAAGTTAACGCTGCACAGTTGGGTCTCCCGTGACGGGCACGGGCTCTTGTTTCAGTGCGCAGTCCGTGCAGGATGGCCAGCTGCTGTCCGACCTCCTGCGTTCAAGGCTTGGACGGAGGCTCCCAGGGCCGCTCTCACTCGCTGCTTCGCTGCTTCGCTTCGCTCCTTCATCTCCAGCTCAAGGGTGGTTCTCTCGCGCCTCAGCTGTCTCACACTCATGCACAACCGCGCGGCGCACTCTTTCTCATCAAACTGCTTCCTCCGGCGGTCGTACTCATCCAACGCCTCCCGAGCTTAGATCGTGCCACAGAACAGCAGGCAGCTTCCCGCCTCTCGCAACTCGCTCAGGATGGCCTCGGTGTGTTCAGCGCGGAGTGACAAAAAGATATTAAAGGGGGGGAGGAAGGGTGCAGGGCAGGAAGACCACTCGACGAGAAATGCTTCGCTGTTTCACCCTCCCATGCACCTCCGTCCGCGCATCCGCCAGCTGCCGCTGCCGCTGGTGCTCGTCTAGCTCCGCCCTCACCCAATCGGAGCTTCACATGAGACGGACCACTCGCTGATGCTGTGCTAAGTCCTGAAGCCACTGCAAGTCACGGCCGTTTCTCGCTGGATGTCAGCTGTCTGCTCGAGGAGCTTCTGGTTTTCAGCACCTACGAGGAGGAGGTACCCGGCAGCGATAAGCAGTGACTGAAGAAATCTGGCAGTTGTGAGCACGCGGGGGCGCCATGGCATGCAGCTGGCAGAAGACTCTAAGACAGCCGCGCACTTCGTCCATGAAGCTAGCAATTTGTTTGGCAGCCTGAACATGCCCAAGAAGCTGATGCGAGATGGAGCTAGCACCACGACACGACGAGTCAATCCAACAAGATAGAAATGTCAAGATCTCAGGTTGGCGCCACATCCAACCTGAAGAAGTAAGCCAAGACATCCAAAGCAGGGTCTACCGACTGGGAACAAGCTTGCCAGGGTCACCCTATTTGGAGGCTTTCTTTGTTGGCCGTCACGGCAGCAGAGAACGCCTGCAGGATCGGTAGGACAGCGAGTCGGCGAGACCGCACGCCCCACGGCCCCACCCCACATTGGCACAGCTGGCGCCTTCCTCACCGAGGCGGCCTCGCAAGCGCGCTCGCGGGCAAACGCGGAAGCACCCGCGACGGCAGCGTAGCGGCACCTCGAAGCGAGATTGTCCCAACCTGGTCAGAGACGCGAATTGGAAACTCGGAAGAACTTCCCCTGCATAGAGGCCCGCTCCAATCTGCGAGCTCCTGCTGCATGTTCTCCAGCCTCCAGAAGTACGAATTGGGAAGAAAGGACGGGGAGTTGCGGAGCGGAATCGAGGCCAAAGGGCTTCTTGCGAGTGTCGCGCTCGCTTTCGAGGCCGAGGACCACCTGAGTTTCTAAACAGCTTGGAAGCGACGAGGCGCTACGAATGCCTGCCCCCAAAGCCGCCACACAGGTCCGGCAGAGCCGCACGGGAACCAGCAAGAAAGGAAGAGAAACGCAACACAGCAAAAACATCGGCCAGTGGCTGGCAAATCAGGCTACAAGGCAGGGTGCCCCAAGCGCTCCGCTTCCTTCAGCTGGTCGAAGCGATCTTGGAAGTTGCAGAGCTCCCCTGACACTTTGGCGATGGCACACTCACCTCAGCTCCGTCCGAGTAGTCCGACTATTGGTAACTGCGACTTGCTGAGCTGAGCTGCTGCTCCAGACCTGGGGAACAAGACGAAGATTGTTGCGGCACACATTGGCTACCATCGATGTGCCTGATCGGTGAGGGTGTGATGCTTCAGCTCCATGGACGTCATCTTTGCCTCGGATGCTCTCACGGTCTTCGGCTCGCTTTATGCTTCTGAGACCCCTAAGCCTGCGGCCTCCACTTCTGCTTTGAGGGGTGCCAACTGACAACGCTTCTCGCAAAGCACATCCAACTGACAACACGACTCTTCAGGCCCTGCCGTGCACTCAGCTTGGAAGAGTTTGCTCTCGCACTTTGGCTGGTCTCGCTGTGAAGAGGGCTGACGGAAGACGGGAGTGGCCTCTCCGAACTTCTGCTCCAGACCTCAACTGCACTGACGCGGGCATCGGCAGCACGGCACCTGACCTGCACACTGCGCTGATCCGCCCGAGCGGTGAGCTTGAGAAGAAGGACTGTTCGCAGCTGGACTGCAACTTCCTGACCGCAGCCACTCCGACCACCCCGGCGCGAAGAGACATGAAGCCCCGCACTGGAGGTGCTGGAGCTCGTGCCTCAGGCTGAGAGATAATACCCAGAGTCGCTGTGCTGGGCCCAAGGACTCCGTAAGGACCCGCTCCGCACGGCGTCGAGGGCACGCCGCTGCTGCAGATGACCCTCTTCCTGCCCGCAAGGCTGCTAAGCACCAGTGCGAAGACTAACAAGGATTGCGAAATAAGAACAATTCACGGACCCCGTCCTTCTGCTTCGTGATCATCTTCAGCTGCTGCAGCTCGACCTCAAGCAGACGCCCAGGTGACGAAGCAACGACGCGGGGTATCGCAGCCCGCGCCTCGTATCGCTCGATCATGCTCTCCATCTCCGTAGCCTGTCTCGCCATTAACCGACAAAAGCACACCCTCGCGATCTCGACCCTAGCTAGACACGGAAATGGACACGTTGCGCTGTCTACTCCTCTCCTACTTAAGTTCAAGCGCGAGGATGCTGCAGAAGACTCGGCGTTTCCTAGATGACACAACTCTGAAGATACATGTCTGGCCAGCGAGACCCAAGCTTGATGTGGAGGGTGACGTATTGTCACTAATTATGGTGCATGACTGTCCAGTGCAAACGCCCTCATGAAATCTCATGAAAATCACGCACAACGCAGATTGTGGCATATGCACCCATGTTCGATTGGTACGACCGACTGTCCCCGTTGAGGATACCAGCTGCGGACTGAGCCACCCAGGTACTCCTCTTAGCAGGTACGCTTACACCTCTGCTACTCATGGTCTTCGTTGGTCCCAGCATGAGTACCAGACCTGGGACCCCCTGCATTGCAAGAAACCTACAAAACATCCGTCGCAAGGTTTATCGCATGTACAGCAGAATTACACAAACAGGCCCCAGATTGGGGCCGCCATCAGGCTTCTGCCAGGCTTCTGCTGGCCTGAGACTGCTTGGAGGGAGAGAAGGAGAGCGAGCAAGAGGAGAAGACGATAGCTCGGTAGACCGACGGGCAGAAGGAGAGACGGGCGGAAAGAAAGCGAGAAAAGATGACAATAGCTCGACTGACATACAAAGAAGACGGCGCCAATCCTTAGTATGGTCGTCGCAGTCGTCGTCG